ACACACACTCCCCCCCCCTCCATCCTTCAGCTACAGAGAGCAGGTAGAGATCAGCTATATGACTCTCCTTCAGTAAACACAGATATGTACAGCATAATGAACCTCTGTCTTCTACAGTCTCTGTGGATAGCAGCGGCTTTGTGCGGCTGATGAAACTTCATGAAATAAATGTCAAGATTCCCAACGTTATATTTGGTTCTCGAGCAAAAGGTGGAAATCCTTTGCACTCCTTCTGTTGGTTTGCGCTCCTTCCATTCGTCCATTCTATTCCCGTTGAGAGTTTTGATTGGTTCCTTCATTCTTAGCGGCGTTATCCCTGCGGACTGTGAGCAGAGAGAGAGAGAGAGACAGAGACAGAGAGAGAGAGAAGAGAGAGAGACAGAGAGACAGCGAGAGAGAGACAGAGAGAGGCAGCGAGAGAGAGAGAGAGACAGAGAGAGAGAGAGAGAGAGAGAGAGAGAGAGAGAGAGAGACGACGACAAAAGGAAGCAGAGAAAAGACAGAGAGATCAAGAGGGAATAAAAAAGGAGAAGAAGACAATTAGACAAAGAGGAAGATTTCTAATGAGCAGAGTGCTACACAGAGAGGAAACAGCTGTTACACCTGCTGAGCGCTCACTTCTCTTATCTTTCCACACACACACACACACACACACACACACACACACACACACACACACACACACACACACACACACACACACACAGTAACTAAGTACATTTACTCAAGTTCTGAACTGAAGTAAAACATTGAGTTACTTTTACTGAGTATGTTCACATTATGCCACTTTTCACTTTTTACTCCACTACATTTATTTTACAGATTTATTTATTTTGCAGATTTATTTGCAGTTACTTTTTATTCAAATTGACACTCATTATAATATATTACAATAGGTTAAGCCAGGGGTTCACACACACACACACACACACAAGGGGTGGGGGAGCGCAACAGCTGTAATTAAAGTTTCAAAGTCTCAAAGATGCTACAATTACTGTCACAAACTGGATGAATGTGAAGTATTTTGTTAAAGGAGGATGAAAGCGTAATTAAAGGAGCACTAATTGGAGTGACTTTGATGGTTATTCATTCATTTGGATTCCCGCTGTATGAAGAAATTAAAGGACGACGAAAGTGGAAACAATTCACAAAGGGATTAAACTGTTTAAAACACATGCTCAAAGTAAGCCGGATTTTGCCGATGTGTTTATGTGGATTCAAAAGTAGTAAATAATCTACAAAATGGAGGAGACCGATCTGATCGGAGCAACTGTGACGAATAATCCAACTGAAACCGGCATGGACAATGACTATGTTTTAAAAATGCGCTTATCCAGAAAAGCCCGGTTTGGACACTTTACGGGCAGAAGAAACATTTCTATTAAAGAAAGAATTACGGTACGTCCACACAGCAGCTTTGAAAAAATCTTG